CATATTATTTAAAACAATATTTAAAAAATTTTTTTTATAATATAAATTAAAATTTGAATAAATTTTTAAAAATATTTGTAATTTCTTAAGATTATGTAATTAAACGAATTAGGAATTACTATAAAAGTAAATACTAAATTGGGTTAAATATATAAGGAATTACTAAATAAAGAATTACCAATAAGAGAATTTTAAATTAAAAAAATATAAATAGAGAGAATTATTTTTTTATTAGATAAAAAATGAAAGCTTGTAAAAATTCATTAAAAAATTTAATTGTTTCTAACAAAAAAATATTACAAGATCCAAAAATTTACTTTGAAAAATATTATAATCCTAATTATAAAACATATATTAACAAATGAGAAATTGTTTATGTAAAAGAAAAAAATAATAATAATGTTGTTGATATTTTTCTTAAATATGTTTTGTATCGATACTTAAAAAAACAAAACAAAGAAGGACAATTTAATACTTGTCCTTTTTGTGGAGAATTAAATTTTGTTTATATTAAAGAAAGTTTTGAATTTAGTATTAATCAAATTAATTCTTTGAAAGATTGTTTACCAGATAAAACTCTTAATCATTGTAGAATTTCAAATAGTTCTTTTACAAATTTTTTAAGAAAAGATCAAGAATTTAAATTAAGAATTATTGATATTAATCATGTTCGTAAATTTTTTACATATTATAAAGATTGTGAAGATGTTGGAATTTATTGGTGTGAACATGAAAATATTACAGTTTATCATAAATGTAGACATGTTTTAGATATTTTTAATAAGAAAGATTTGTTTTATTATATTAATCATTATTTGAAAAGAAAATATAATTTCAATCAATGTCCAGATTGTTATATTATTAGTGTAAACAAACCAAATGAAAAATGTTGTCATAAAATTAAATGCCAATATATTAAATATAATAAGATTTAAATTTTAAAGTAATATATATAAATAAAATATATATATAAGAGTTTGATTTTTTTAACAGAAAATAAAAAATGGGTGATTATTAATTTTATTATACATCTGCTGCAACATATCATTGTTTACCTTGTAAAGAAAAATTTAAATGTATTAAAACTAAAAATAAAAAAGATATACAGTCTTGTGAAGACGAATTTAAAAAAACTGGTATACCAATTTATAAATTATGTCAAGTTCAACATTAGCGCTGTTCAGTTGATACTTGCACAAATTGTTGTTTAATAAATAAATATAATAATATTGTATGTGATTATTGTAAAGCAAATAATATTGAATGTAAGCGAGTTGTTCCAATAATTCAAGAAGCTTATAATAAAATTAAAAATAATTTATCTTATATTGGTTAGAAATTTAAGCCAACTAATAAAGAACAATTACATGCACAAATCTATATACAATTTAATAAATGACAAACTCTTAAAAGTGCTAAAGAAGTATTTAAAGAAGATAATTCTTTAATACTTCAATGAAAATTAAATAGTACTTCAGTTCAAAATAGAGCATATATGTTAAAACTATATGATTGTTATAAGAAACATCCAGATTGCAGATGTGATTATTATGATTTTAATTATAGATATGATAAATATGATTCAATATGCGAATAAAAAGTTGCTGCTTGGGGTAGAGGCACTTTATCTAAAGAAATTGTTGGTCTATTTGAATTTGGTGAATTTAGAGAAATTGAAAAGAAATATACTAAAAAAAAAAAACTAGATATAAATGAATTAAAAGTTAATGAACATTCAGGTAGAATAGATAGTAATGAAATGTTGTTAGATAATAAAACTCCTTTTGAAATTTTTAAAGAAATAAAGACAAAATACCATATTGTAAAAATTATGAAACAATGACGAGAATTTATCAAGATTTACAAAAAGAAAAAAAGAAAGAAAAAGAAAATAGATTTTATTGCCTTTGACTTTTTATTTTTATGGACCTACAGGTTCAGGAAAATCTGGTTTAGTTACTGAATTATTTTCTAGAAATAAAGGAGAACTATATGCTAATAAACTAACAAAACAACAAAATAATTGGTGGAATGGATATGAAGGTCAACAAGCAGTTCTTCTTGATGAGTTTTATATAAAAATTAATTGGAATGATATGATAAATATGTTAAATGATACACCATATGATGTAGAAATAAAACACAGAGATTTTGAATCTTTTTTATCAAAAAATATATTTTTAACAGCTAAAAAGCATCCTCAAGATGCGTATAATTTTAGACAATATGAAGAAGAGCTTAATCAATGTGATTGGCCACAGTTTGAAAGATGTTTAGATTATATTATTGAGTTTACTGGTAGTTGGGATGAAGATATAGAAAAAAAAAAAATACAAATTATATTTCATAAAGGTTCTGAAGAAAAATTTAGAAATATGTGTTAAGAAATTAAATATCAAAATAGTGAAAATTTATCTGAAGAAATAATTGAAAGAAGTAAAAAATTAAATAATAATCAAGGTGATTATAGAATTGATGATAAAAAAGTTTATTGGCAACAGAATTTTCCTGAATTTAAAAAGTGATATCTTCGAGATTATCCAAAATGCAAAAAGCTTTTTGAATATAAACAAGAAATTGAGCAAGAATTACATTTAATCAATAATGATTTACTTGATAATAATTTAATTAATGAAGAAAATGAATCTGATAATGGATTATTAGATTATGAAAGATCAAACTCAGTAGCAGAATCATCAAATAAATGAAGAAAATTAAATTAAAAATTAGCTAATTTTTATTGTTTTAGTATAAATAAATATGTAAAATTTTATTAAATAAAAAATATATAAATATACAATTATTGAATTTTAATTAAAAATCGATATTTTACCAACATTAATATGACACCAACTAGAAATAGCTAGCTAGAAGTGATTTAGCTTGCCACTTAAGTAATTTCGTG